TGATAATATATTAGAAGACAAAATGTTTATTCTAAAATTGGACTATTTTCCAAACAACCTTATAAGATATATGTATTTACACTATATTCAAACTACTGTCCTCTTCTTTATTATTGTTTCCATAAAATTTTAACTGTTGTGACCTCTGGCCTTGCATCCTACAGGACATTGGTCTACTGGTTTAAAGCATTGGTTTGTGAGTTCAATCCCTGGGCCGAGCAGTGTGTACTTGCACTTAGTGGAAACAGGAGAGCAATAACCGGGCAGTACTAAATAAAAATAAGAACTAGACAATAACCCTACTCTAAACAAGAGCAGTAGACCAATAACAGTCTAATCCCATCGATTAAATAAAAGTTTCAGTTCAGAATTCCCTGTAGTTTACCAAGATCAATAGATAGCTGGGGAAAGCCAGAGGGAACAATGGCCAAAATGTTTTGAAAATTGTCCGAATATAAATTGTGTAAATAATGATAACTCGTCATCCCAGAATTTTAGACAGAAAAAAAATATATTTAATAATGATATTAACCCATGAAAATTTCACAGTTCTCCTATTTGAAATTTCTGATGAATCTTAATTCATCAGTTCATGATTGAATAAGCTCATGGCGATTTCTATGACAATAAAATATCTGTAAAAGTACCTCTATCACATTGTTAAATATTTGACCTTAACAACTTTATCAAAATATTGCAATAACGATCAAAAATATGAATGTTGATTGTTATTTTAAGAAGAGGGTACAAATGAAAAGATTTTAAATTGACAACTTTTTTCTATTTCACTAAAAAAGATGTTAAACACTTCTATCTTCCATTCTTTCTTTCATTTTCAAACTGAAACCAAGTTGCATCTCTATCTATAAAAGGCAGGATGTTTGTGTGTGTGTGTGTGTGTAACAAATGCACGGCCACAATTTTCGACAGATTTGCACTAAAATTTACATGCACATGCTCCAAGTTAGCAGGAAGGCCAAGACTGACTTTGCATTTCCCAACTTCTATCGATAGTGGAAATAATCGATTTTTCATGCTTCTACGGCAGTTTTCATGTAGTTTGTGGCCATTTTCTACTGCCCAGAGTGAGAGCCTAAAGCTGGATGCCACAAATAGGCAGGAAGATTCTATTGGCCAGCGTGAGAGCCAAACAACTGACACAAATGTTAACTAACATGCAAAAAAAATCGATAGCTGCATTCGTCACAAGTGGGAAAAATTTAAATCTGCATGGTACTTTACTCCAATTGGCTCATTCACTTGCTTAAACTCAAAGTTGATTCTGATTCTGCAGAACTGGGTTGGGTGTGAAAAAGTATTTGTTGTTAACATTCTTTTTTCATTCGTTTTTTCCAGTTACAAGTCCTTTTTAAAGCTGATCGTTTTGTGTTCATTTTGTTTAGTTCTTTTTTCGTAACAGATTTAATGTTTACTATAGAGCTTAGAAAAAATTTGCAGTGTGATATAGGCAAGAAGTAAGGCATGTAGCAACATCAGCACGGCAAAGGGCTCTCCTTTAAAGGCAAGGAAGGGCAATAATATTTTAAGTCAAGTGATAGCGATTACTGTATGAGTCGTACGATTTTTGAATCAAGCACAGGCAACGCCGAGCCAAGCTGCTAGTTGTTGATATGTATTTTGTTTTTCCACACAATCAAAATGGAATAGTACATTATTTATGAGGTATTAGCAGGAGACGTTAAACACAGCTTTCTTTTTTTTCACTGAAACCAAGTAGCATATCTAATATGTCTTGTGTCTTTCCATGCAATCAAAACAGAACATTCCACTGTTTATGGGGTATTGACAGGGCTTAATGGTCGTGCAAACTAACAAAAGGAGGAAAAGCACAATTATTATATGACAATATAATGGACTCCTAGTCATTAGATATGTACAGTGTGGGTTACCCTACTTGGCTTTGTCAAAACACCAGTTAGAGAGAACTCTTTTAAGTCTATAAAGAGGCAAATATATTCTCTTGCCTTCTCTTTTTTTTAACTCTTGCTTTCAGATGTAGTCAAACATAGACGAAAAAAATGCTGACAAGGGGGTGTGTTTGCTTCCTTGGTCTTCTGTTGACTTTTCAACTCTTGCACACTTGTTTCACACACACATACAAACAAGCACATTCTTATATCTAGTTTTAAGGTCTTTTCCTTTCATTTCAATTGTGTATGCATGCAATTACCTTTCTTAACACAGGCATGCAGTTGCCATTTGTTTTAAATTCTTTGGTTTGTGTCAACTCATTTTTACCTGGACATAAATGAATCCACAAATATTGTTTGTTGGATAAATGTTCCAGAAACCCATACATATCTGCTATAAAACATCAACACACTTGTATCAAAAGTGTTGAATCCCACAAGAAAATGGTGACTTATTAATGGTGACAAAAAACTGATTAAGGATAAACTGTAAAATGTATATCATCACATATGAAAATATATTCACGTACTTTCATATGTTTGTGAGCGTGTTTATCCACACATTAGAAAGATCTTCTTCTCTCTTCTTGTAACGGCATTCACCCGAGGTGGGTTGAGCTGGCTCCTATATTGGAGTTTTATAGGAATTTTAGAATTCACAAGCAGTCCCCAACCTGCATGTATAGCACATGAGATTTGATTATAGTGGTGAAGGTTTTGTGCAGGACCATCCACACTTTTTGAAGGGACGATTACAGAGGCTTGGTGCACTATGTGCCACAAGGTCCCCAAACGACCCTCCGCAGGTTTTGAATTCAGAGTTTTCCTTCTCCTAGACCAGTTGCCATCCGAGGCTATAGAACCCAGTCTGTCCTGCTATTTACCCATAGCTGGGGGGGGGGAGAAGAAGAGGATTTACACCTTTCACAAGGGTATTAGCATGTAAGTGAATGTAATGGATTCGACTGGAATTCAAACTCGGCTCTCCACTTTCTCAATCCAAGCTGCTAGCCATTACTCCACCGTGCCTCAAATTAGAAAGATCTGGCTGTTGTTGGTTGTTTAATTTGGAAGATATCAGCAAATAAAGCAAAAATATAGACTCTCTTTGGTGTGTATTCTTAAGTGCAGTAACTGAAATAAATGTAAAAGGATATACATTCTATCTTTATTGTATATTCCTTTGAATGCATCAAAATAAAAACTCTTTGAGAATGTACTTAAAAAATACAACAAAGTCATTTTTCTAGTGACTGTTTTTATATATATATATATATATATATATATATATATATATATATATATATATATTTAATCTTTATGAACATATCTTTCCACAAATGTCACAAAAATACAGTTCAGTATGGGTTTACTTGTGAAATTCTGTTACGTCAAAATACAAAAGCACATACTTAACAAGAAAAACAGTTTTGCACCTGTACAGTTACAAGTGTTCTCTTCAAAAGAGAATTACATGAAAATAGAGAGTCACATACTTCACAAGAAGACTGGTCCTCCTTCTCATGTAGCTTCATGTGCTTTCAAATAATAAACTTGTGAAAATGCATATCGACAGATTTCACAATATTTTTTGTACCTCTTTAGTATGTGTGCGCATATGCTGATTTAAACTTGTTTTTTGAGAAAATGAAGTGTCACATATTTTGCATATATGGGGTTTCTCCCCAGTGTGTGTTCGCATGTGCATTTTCAAAGTGAAACTTCGAGAAAATGCACACCCACATATCTCACAAGAATGTGGTTTCTCTCCAGTATGTGTTCGCAAGTGCATTTTTAAATCGGAGTTCCTTGAAAATGCTGATGCACAAAATTTGCATGAGAGGTTTTTCTCTCCTGTGTGGGTTAGCATGTGCTGTGTCACAGCTGATCTCTCTGAAAATGTAGCATTGCATACTTGACAAGAATGTGGTTTCTCTCCAGTATGTGTTCGTTTGTGTCTTTTCAAAGCTGAACTTTGTGAAAACGTATGACCACATACATCACAAGAAAATGGTTTCTCTCCAGTATGTGTTCGCTTGTGAGTTTTCAAATGAGAAATGTAGGAAAATTTGGCTCCGCATATTTGACAAGCATATGGTTTTTCTCCAGTGTGTGTTCGCATGTGTGCTTTCAAATACGAGCTTTGTAAAAAGGCACATCCACACACTTCACAAGAATACGTTTTCTCTCTAGCATGTATATGCATATGCTGATTTAAACTTGCCTTTTGGGAAAATGCAGAATTGCATATTTTACATGTATATGGTTTTTCTCCAGTGTGTGTTCGCATATGTATTTTTAAAGAAAAACTTCGTGAAAATGCTGCTCCACACATTTCACAGGTATGTGGTTTCTCTCCAGTGTGTGTTCGTATGTGCATTTTTAAATCTGAAGTCCTTAAGAATGCATATCCACAAACTTCACATGTAAACATTTTCCCTCCTGTGTGGATGAGTAGGTGTTGCGTCAAAGCAGATCTCTGTGAAAATGTAGCACCACATATCTGACAAGAATGTGGCTTCTCGCCAGTATGGATTTGCTTGTGTCTTTTCAAAGCTGAACTTTGTGAAAATGCGCATCCACATACATCACAAGAAAATGGTTTCTCTCCAGTGTGTGTCCGTTTGTGTGTCTTCAAATGTGAACTGTATAAAAATGCAGAACCACATATTTCACAAGCATATGGTTTCCCGCTAGTATGTATACGCATGTGCTTATTTAAACTTGCTTTATGTGAAAATGCAGAGTCACATACTTTGCAAAGGTAGGATTTCTTTCCAGGATGTGTTTGCATATGCGTTTTTAAAGTTGAAATTTGTGAAAATGTGGATCCGCACCATTCATCAGGAATTTGTTTTTCACCCGTGTGTGTATGCATGTGGATTTTCAAACTTGAACTTGTTGCAAATGTAGATTCACAAATTTAAGAACTAAATTTCTCTTAAGTGGGACCTATTTATTTTTTTTAATTCAATCTCTCAAATGATTTGGATCAGAAAGGTTCATATGAAAAGATTACAGTTTGTAGCCTTGATATTGTGCCTATTAGGATATTTTCTATGTTGGTCTTTACATCCTTCTGTCAGATGAATTCTGTTTTCCTCTGTAGGATCTGTAAATGAAGAAAAATATTTTAAAATGATTCAAGTAGATTTTTAATTGCATCCAAAACATCAATGCATATACCATAATTTCTTGAAAATAATACGCATTTTTTTACTGTAAATTACAGGTGATAGTAGGGGTGTGTATTATAAATAGGCACGGTGGAGTAATGGATAGCGGCTTGGATTGAGGAATCGGAGAGCCGAGTTCGAATTCCAATCAAATCCATTACATTCACTTACATGCTAACACCCTTGGGAAAGGTGTGAATCCTCTTCTTCTCCCTCCAGCTATGGGTAAATAGCAGGACAGACTGGGTTCTATAGCCTTGGATGGCAACTGGTCTAGGAAAAGGAAAACTCTGAATTCAAAACCTGCGAAGGGTGAATGGAGTCTCTCTGAGCCTTGGTTGGCAATCCATTTAGTGATGGTGTCACGATAAAAAACACCCTTGATAGCCCTAGCGAAGCATCAAGAATTCAGCTATTTGACAAGATTACGAACTACACCAATCAAAGTATTAGCTATGACAGATAAGGAATACTGGAAAGGTGTAGTGAGTTCAATCTCGGCTGAGGCCGCAAGATGATGATGATGATTATAAATAGGTTTAAACAAAAATATTTTTTCATTACTGATTTATAATAATAAATACATACTTGTTGTTCTAAAATAAGAAAGATATTATCCCAATTTTCATCTTAAATCCAGCAATAATAATCTAACATCAAAAGTCACAGGTGTTTGGTCAGCATTTCCAATACAGCCTAAAGGATATTTGCGCTTTTTTTCTTAGCTGAATAACAAAACACAAAAAATTCAAAAGCTTATCTTCGTAGTCATCAGGCAAACAGTAGGATATGGATGTTCTCCTAATAGATATAACAAACCTCTTCATAAAAAGAAAACACCAGTTTGCTGAAGCTTTAAATGTGTTTCCAGGATACATGGTTTTCATAAGTTCTTTTGCCTTCATCCTTATTTCCACAGTACTTATGGAACATCTACTTTTCACTTTCTTTCACAAATTCAACTAAACTTTGTTCCATATATGGATATTGAGCTTTTCTTCCTCTACCTATAGTTTTGGCACAAGATTTACACTTTTTTAGTTCATTTTTATTCTTTCTCTATAGACTCTGTTTCCTATTCTTTCTGCTAATTCTGCTACTTTTTGTTTAAAATTTGCACTATAACTTGCATGTTTTGACGACATTTATCGAGAAAACCACATGGTAATTATCAACATTATTTTAGCTGCTTAGTTTTGATTTTGTTCTTAATGTCAAGATCGACAAGATATCTTCGTAATTATTTTTTTTTGACAAAATTTATAGATGCGTATTATACATAGGGATAGATATATTTCTTAATTTTTGGATCATTTGTTGGGGCGCATATTAATTATGGGTGCGTATTATACATAGGGATAGATATATTTCTTAATTTTTGGATCATTTGTTGGGGCGCATATTATTTATGGGTGCGTATTATACATAGGGATAGATATATTTCTTAATTTTTGGATCATTTGTTGGGGCGCATATTATTTATGGGTGCGTATTATACATAGGGATAGATATATTTCTTAATTTTTGGATCATTTGTTGGGGCGATATTATGCGTATTTAAGGGATAGATATTTTTTAATTATATTTCTTAATTTTGGATCATTTGTTGGGGCGCATATTATTTATGGGTGCGTATTATACATAGGGATAGATATATTTCTTAATTTTTGGATCATTTGTTGGGGCGCATATTATTTATGGGTGCGTATTATACATAGGGATAGATATATTTCTTAATTTTTGGATCATTTGTTGGGGCGCATATTATTTATGGGTGCGTATTATACATAGGGATAGATATATTTCTTAATTTTTGGATCATTTGTTGGGGCGCATATTATTTATGGGTGCGTATTATACATAGGGATAGATATATTTTTAATTTTTGGATCATTTGTTGGGGCGCATATTATTTATGGGTGCGTATTATATAGGGATAGATATATTTCTTAATTTTTGGATCATTTGTTGGGATAGATATTATTTTCTTAATTTTAGGGATAGATATATTTCTTAATTTTTGGATCATTTGTTGGGGCGCATATTATTTATGGGTGCGTATTATTTTTGAAAAATTACAGTGTCTATTTTGATTGAGATGTATCTGCTGTAATAAAGTTTAAAGTAAAATATCACTGAGTAGTTAGAATGTTTGCTTTCTTCACATGAGACCTGGGTTTGAATCTCACCATTTGTCAGGAAGGCGACTTCTCTGATGTTATCGGACTGGATCAAGGTTGATCACAGTGTGCAGCACCTATGGAAAGTGCCTGAAAACCATAACATGGGTTGACCCAAGTCTTGTGAGTGAAATTGGGTAGACAGAACACTTGGGGGTCATCGATAGCTGTGCTAACACAAAGCCACAAGCCATCGTGGCCGAGGGCTTGCATATGCTGGCTTTATTCAAGTTGTTGGTCACACTAGATAACACGCTCTCTCCCAGAAGCTGTAATTAAGATCTGCTCAGCATAGTTGCAGTATAAACCACAGGTGGGCTCTGTGGGTGTTGAGCAAACACAAATGTGCCTGAGCAAGCGTCTGCAATAGGGATTGTCTAGCCAACCTAGTAGATGGGTATCCTCGAATATGGGTGGCCAGGTATTATATATATATATATATATATATACATACACACGCACACACATACACTACGGTTATAACTTTTATAAAATAATTGATTCCCTGTATCATAATTTATGAACATTTGTTCAAAAATAATGAAAGAGGTTTTATTTCAGTTTATTTTTTTTAAATGTCACCCCAACACAAAATATCTAAAATTGTATATAAGTATAGTTGTATGATGACTTTCTGGAACCTACTACCTTTATTTGTAAGTTTGTATGTTAGGCTATAGCTATAAACAGTTAAATGCATTAAAAATACCTAAGTACTATCCTTTTACATCATTAACAAATTGAAAAATAAAGCTTCTAAAATACTTTGATTTTTTTTTACCCTTATTGTGTATATGGTAAGATCAAACTTTCACTTCACGGGTGTCTTTTTCTCAAGAACTAAAACAAATTAATGCCTTTTTCTTTACTTTTGAACAAAAGTAACCTTAATACACACACACACATAAAATAATTAAATGTCAGGAGTTGCCAAAAAAAAAACGTCATTGGGCTGTCTTAGGGACACTGGATTTGAATTCAGAGTTGTCCTTCTCTTAGTCTGGTTACCAACCATGGCTACAGAGCCCAGATTTCCCTCCTATTTACTCATAGTTGGAGGTTTTTGAATTCAGTTTTTCCTTCTCTTAGACTAGTTGCCACCCAAAGTTATAGGACCCAGTCTGTTCTGCTATTTACCTACAGCTGAGGGGAGGAGAGATGAATTCATACCTTTCCCAAGGTTATTAGCACATGAATGAATGTAATGACTTCAACTGTAATTCAAAAATGGCTCTCTGATTCCTCAATCCAAACTGCAATCCATAAAGCCCCTGCATATTCTTATTACACACTGTTTAATAAATAAATAAAAAATGGTTATCTAGTTTGATTAAGATGTATCTGCTATAATAATGTTTGAAGTAATATATATATATATATATATATTTATATATATATATATATATATATATATATATATATATATATATATATATATATATATATATAATTTTTTATAAAAATTTATAACATAAGTATGTTATAAAATCACTACAAAAATAGCCATTTTGTTTCAACACACTCTGTGTCTTATCAAGTGATGATGTTGAAAAGAAAATAAATGGTTTTAAAAGTTTCAGATGAATTAACGATCCTACACTAGGGGAGCATTGTTACAAAAGCTAGAATAACCAATCAAAAACGAAGTACAGAAAGATTCAAAAGCTTGACAACAAAATCCTGCTATTATAGCTATTTAGATCTTTAAATACGTGTAATATTAAAAATAATTTTTACTAACTAATAATTATAAATTTATATGATAAAATTTAATATTAAAATTAAAAACTGGCAATTTTTAAAAATCCAAATTTAATCACTATTAAGTTTAAAAACTACAAAATTATTGAGAAAAGAAAAAAATATATATGTTTATTCAATTCATTTCTTCATTGAAATTACGTCTGACAAGACAAAAAGCTACAATTTTCTTTTCAACACCATCACTTGATAAGACACAGAGTGTGTTGAAACAAAATGGCTATTTTTGTAGTGATTTTATAACATACTTATGTTATAAATTTTTTTATAAAAATAATTATATCTGCTCTACTTTGTATTGAGCACTCTTTTAAGAATAGTAATTGTTGGTTATTGGAATTCATTCCGTGTATACCAATTATATACTTTTGTATATATATATATATATATATATATTTATGTGTGTGTGTGTGTGTATTGGGGTGTCTTTTTTCAAGATCTGAAATAAATTAATGCCTTTTTCTTTACTTTTAAACAAAACTAACTCTAATACATACACACACACACACACACACACACACAAAATAATGAAATGTCAATATGAAAATATTAAAGCAAAAATGCATGATATAAAATTTTAGAAGACAAATTTCAATGAGTAAAAAGAAAATTGTTTTGTTATATCAAAAGCAGGTTATTATTCACATAGAAAGGGGTGCTGCAATGTTATTAGCATCCACTTGCATTCATCTCACATGAAACAGAAACCAAATTGAAAGTGTACTTTTTAGTATACTCCAGCAATAAGTTTGTCAGTATGTCCATAGCCTAATGATAGAGAAAAAATATGACACAACAAATATTTTTCAACATAGTCTTTTCCTTATGTTCAATACACTTAACCCAACACTTCTTCGTAGAATCAAATCAATTAAACTTGGTGAAGATTTCATATCAAAATTCTTCATAGAATATCAAAATTCTTCATAAACTCGGTGACGATTTCATATCAAGATTCTTCATAGATTAAACTCAGTCACAATTTCATATCAAATTTCTTCATAAACTCGGTGACGATTTCATATCAAAATTCTTCGTAGATTAAACTCAGTGAAGATTTCATATCAAAATTCTTCATAGAATATCAAAATTCTTCATAGATTAAACTCGGTGAAGATTTCTTATCAAAATCACCTTGTAGCACATTTTCTAATCAGATATCTTAAAGCATCAAGTAAAAGGCAAGAGACAAATTTTGTATAAAATACTCTAAAACCAATCAAAATATTATAAAAAGTATAAAAACATAATTCATTGTCTTTATAATTGCTCTCAAGTTACATGCGATATTTTTTCTGTAATTTATGTAAAATCTTTTCAAGATAGTTATTGTTATTACAGTGCAACACCGCTATTGTTTTGTGTCTATATTTCTGAGATGAGGTATTATGTACCCTATTTACATTATTCGAACTATTGTCCTCATCTTTTTCGTCATATTTATTACAACGTTTCGGATGTTGTATGCTCCAGCATTCTTCGGGTGGTTGGAATGTCGAACTGAACCTTTATTTCGCTCACTGGGGTAGACTGTTCTAGTTCCATGTGCCATGTTTAATGGATGTCAGTTATCACCTGTTAATTCCCCACTGCCTTAACCGAGTATTGAACTCACACTCTTTGGATCCTGTCACTGGATCTAACTAACACCTTTATCCACTGTGCTATGTGTCTTTGACATTCCAACCACCTGAAGAAGGTCGGAACGTACAACGGCCGAAACATTGTAATAAATATGATCAAGGCATGCAGTTCCTATTTTCTTATCCTCCTCTAATTTCTGCACCCCCAAATGTTAGCATAGAAATAGAACCCAGTCTGTCCTGCTATTTACCCATAGCTGGAGGGAGAAGAGGATTCACACCTTTCCCAAGGGTATTAGCAAGTAAGCGAATGTAATGGATTCAATTGGAATTCGAACTCGGCTCTCCAATTCCTCAATCCAAGCCACTATCCATTACTCCACCATGCGTCCTCTAATCTATTACATATCCATAAGTCTACCATTTGTCTATACTTATAATATTGCTGCCACATACAGTCTGGTGTTCCAGCTATTCATTTAAAAATTCTACATAAAATCCAAAGAAGAATCAGCTATATTATTGGTCCTAAACTGGCATCTCAGCTTCACTTTCACACCACCATAAAGTTATTTCCCTGTGCCTTTTCTATAAATACTTTCATGGTAATTGTTCAGATGAGATCTTTGTTATGGTACCTAGACTTTATGAATTTAAGCACAGTACTAGATTGGCAACAAGGTCTCATCAATTTCAAGTTGAAATGGCTAGATGTAATCATAAGTTCTATGCTAACGGTTTTTTTTCTCACACTTCTCACTTGTGGAACTCTCTTCTGGCTCCATGCTTTCCAGCCAACTTTAATCTTCAAAAATTTAAATGCAATGTCAATCATTATCTACTGATTACTCTTCTATTCTTCTCACTCCTTAGTAATGTTTCTTTTTTTCTAATTCTGTCACACCCTTGTGTCTTAGAGGCTTTATTGCCTTGACTGGGGTAAATTCAATAAAAAAAAAATTAAAATTAAATTAACAGTAACTATTGCAGTTTTAGTTATGATATAAAAACTGCTAATTAAATTAAAAGTAAAACCAATTCTAAAACATTTTACAAACATTTACAGCGAATTCATAAAAAAAATTACATTGACTAAAAGTAAAACTAAAGACATTTGATTATTTGTCTATTAGAAAGCAATTATTTCTTAAACTACTATGTAATTATTTACTTATTTTTTGTCTGAATTTCTGGGATGAGGAGTTATAATTATTTTACACTAAGATGAGAATAATAGATCGATATCATACACCTGAGGAAGGCTAGAGAGGGCACAACGGCCGAATCATTGTGATAAAAAAAACAAGAAAGATGAGGACAATAGTCCGAATATAGTGATTAAGTGTTAAAAAGAAATACTGTAAAAATATTGTAATTGTGATAGTATTCATTTAAATAAAATTTCAGAAAATTCCTAAAGAAAATAATTAAAACTCAAGTCAAGTCAAAAAGGGAAAGTAATTTTTATTCTAACATACACTTACTTACTGACCCCAACTCCCGCAATAGTTCACGACAACTCACTTGACATCGAGGTCATAGTAATTTCAATATAAAATAAGGAAAAAAAAAGTTAATTCAAATCAAAATAACAGTTCAAGTGGTACAAAAATTAACCTAGGCCCTAGGGATATTTGTCCACACGACGATTAAAAATGGGTTTAGTCTCCTTCTGGGACAACTCAAGCATTTGGGTGGGGGTGGATTCCTGAATCCAAACATTTTTTAACTTCCAAATCGGAGTAAATAAAGAAACAAAAAAAAAAAATGAATCAAACAAACCAAAACTAATATTCAATTTAAAACATACTTTTCTTTTTTTTTTTTTAATTCTGCAACAAGTCATTATAAAAATCAAATATAACGAGTAAATGAGACATATAATTTTTTTTACAAATTCTATTTTTGCCGAACGCTTAAAAAGAAAAAAAATTGTAATGATCAGATTAATTTTTTTTTTATCAGACAAAAAAAAAAAAGAAAAAAAAAGAGAGATATTAACGAATTTTTTTTTTGTTTTTATTTTCTAATAAAATAAATAAATACATAAATAAATAGATAAATAGAACAGTTTCAAACTTACCTTTCACTTTTGAATCTGTAAACAGTAAACAAACAGTTTTACTTTTTTTTCAAATGCTCTGTCCGGACTTGATCAAATATTTAAGATTTCTCAATCAAATTATTTCTTTAATTCTATTTTTTTTATAGATTTTCTTTCGTGCTTGTCTAATTCAACAATGTTAAAGCCAAAATGACTAACATGAAAAAAAGAAGCAGTATTGAAAATAGCAAAGATATCCCGTGTAAACGTTTCATGCATACGCAAATTGTTTATCTAATGACTTATTGCAAAAATAAATACAAAATCGCTAAGGCTTAAACGGTGATGAAAACCATTTCGTTCCTCGTGTAAAGAATGCATTTGCGGCTTCAACATTTTAGTTTTTTTGACTCACTTCATAATGTTTTTAAAGTACCACATGTCGAGATATTTTCTTTCTTGTTTTTTCTGCCATCATTTACGTTACAGATTAATAAACTAAGTATAACTTTTTGCTGATTTTGTCGTTATTCTGGGGTCTTTTTCATTATTTTTTCGTTTTTTTAAAATGAATTTGTTTTTATGCTAATGCTAAGTCTCGAAAAAAAAAAAAAAAAAACTATATAAAAAATAAAATTCACTATTTTTTATCCATTATTTTGAATGTGTTAAAAAAATGATTCACTTTTTTTAACATGAAAAATCTCAAGTTGATGTTAAAAACGGAGGCAAAAATACATTGTTGATTTAAATGTCTCCTGTATTTTTGTATTTATTTTAAAATAAATTTTTCTAGTTGAATTGTCCACCTATATTGCATAATCCATTATTGTGCATAATTAGAATATAATATAAAATTTATATTTTTTTAATATGAATACTACTTTATGAAAATTGAGATGTATGGAGTTGGAGTATCATAGTTTCGGGGGAGCAAGAAACCATTGCACCGGCCATGTCCTAGTTAGCCCATTACTGACACAGCCCCATTTTGGACATAGTAAACATTTATGATACCAGATTTACAAGATTGTCTAGATTGTTTTTGTTTTGTTTTTTCTATAAATCTATAATTAATAACGGATTTTAATTTTTATATTTAATACTGGATTTCATAGTGTGATTAAATGGAATTTTTTCTTTAAACAATTTTGTATTCTTTTAATATATGAGTTTCATCTTATGTTGATATATATGTTTTAATTTAATATAGTTTTGGATGACTTACAAACATGAAGAAAATTGTTACTTTAATTCTGTAGCATTATGTCTTAGACCAGCGTTTTAGATGCCGTTTCTCCAACGATTGCTGTGACTGGATGCGGAAAAAGTAGCTCAATCAAAAAATGACTCTGTTATAAAAAAAAAAAATAAATAAATAAAATAATTGATGACAAGAAACAGTTGAAGATATGTGTTTCAAGCTGAGATTGAGAAAGCTGTTACTAATCTACAGAAAATGGTGGCAGCGAAGGGTACCAGATAGGGTTCATTTCTTGTAGCACTAACCAAGGCTAGCTGGCAAAACGATTCCTCTTTTATGGAGCTTGAACTCATTCCTTCTGCCATGCTAGGAAATTTGTCTCGGCTTTCCCGCAACAAAGGGTTGAGGTTAAAAATTGGGTTGAGTTTTAAAAAATTGCGACAAAACGCAAGTAAAACAGCAAGATTCGAGTGGAGAAACTCTCTCTTTTAGGCGCGTACGAATAAAGAAAAAACTGCTCGGTGAGTAACAACAAAAGAAGAAAGTGTTTATTTACAACATATACAGAAAAAAAAGGTAAAGGGATAAAAGGACAATTAGGAGAGAAAGAAAAGGGAAAAGAGAAAATGTTCTTAACTTAAAAAGGCTTGCTAAAAATATTTCTCTGAGCGCCTAAAGAGTTCTTTAAGCGATTAGATATTATTGTTAAAGTTCAGATAGATACACTCAAAGTTCTTGTAGAGTGGTAAAATGTGAAGGAATCCTGCAATTTGAGTGAGTTGGTAGGTCGACGTCAGAAGGAGTGGTGAAGGGATGCAGCTTTGGATTGGTCTTGAATAGTGGACCGACGTTCGTTCCTGAGAGCCCTTTAGTAGTAGTTCTTTGGTGAAAGAGGTTCTAGAGCTCCCTAACGTCGACCTCACAGACGGTGGGGAGATTTCTCACTGTCGAAATAGGCAAGATTCTCCAAATTTATGGAGCTTTGGTAGGCTCCGATGGATCGTGGACTTTTTCCTCCAAAATCGTTGTACAAATTTCCTGGCCCCTCTATTGGTCAGAAAACACATTCTTATCACTGATAAGAATCAGGGCCCTGGGAGCCGGTTTCGAAGGTACTGAAGACAGGTTGAAGTGAAGAAGCTGTGAGGTTTCTCCCAGACTTTATGGCACCATGGAAAGAATAATGGTGGTGGAATTCCTTTTTATTTTCCAGCTCTCTCGTTAGTCAGAAAATATATTCTTATCTCCGATAAGAATCAAGGCCTTGGGGAGTAGGTTTTGAAATTAAAAAAAGGTTGGAGTGAGGATAGAAGATAAAGCGAGAATGTGAACTTGTGAAATTGTTGTTCTCAAATTCCAACAGCCAGCTTAATTGGGAAAAGTCATAAATCATGGCTCCCAGGCCACCCCCATTTCAGACAAATGGTTACCAAACTAAGACTGATTAGAAATAGAAGTGTTACCCCCAATTTTGCTCTGAGAGATTATACCCGTTTAAAGGTTCAACTTCCCATCTTTTCTCATTTAATTAGCAAAATCATATATTTTTATGCTAGATGAATTACTGAATGTATTGTTAAAGTGAAATGGTTACCAAACTAATCAAGCAGTTCATTAATACTGATCGTCAACGAGTGCTCCAAAGAACTAGCTTTGTGTTAGACTACAAGCTTAGCTTAATAAATATCAATGTGCAGATTTAGAGAACATGTGTAGAAAATAAACAAGAGTACAAGAAAAATTTGGCAAACTTGTCCCTTTAGACACAAAAAAGAGTATCAAAATGGTTTTTTCCCTTGACCCCACTATTATTTTAACTACCTTCACTCCTCAACAATGTTTATTGTTTTAAAAAGTGATGATTAGAATTCTATTAAAACCTAAACTTATGAAAGTCAATTTATATATTTTCTTTGTCCTTAAAAATTGACAACAAAAATAATAAACACTATTTATTTATTAGACTATTTATTTATACTATTTATTTATTGTTTACTGGAATGATTAGATGATGTTTTGCCAATCATTTGAGTAAAGTTGCCATTTTATAAAGTTCAAATCAATTGGCGATTTATAAAATGGTAAATAATAAGGATTTCCTTATAGTTGGTTCACATATTTTAATAATTTAGTAAATGTTTATAAATTTATGAATAAAAAATTGTTTTCCTATTTATTTCATTATAAATTGATAAATGATAAAAATTATATTAGTTTTAATTATCGAAATGTAAATAATGTAAATAACTCTAAATATATGTTTCAGTTTACTCAAGATTAAATAATAAATTAAAATAACTGGCGTACAGTAAATGATCACAGGTCAGTACATGAACAGGTTCCAAAATAAGGGCGTTATGAACAGTGCTTAAACGCCATATTATTACACTGTATATCATTCTTGGATGATAACATAGGCTTATATTCTTATATGCACAATCTCATACAGATGAAAAATAGCATTCTGCAATATAATACACAACACCTTTTGCACTTGTAGGTGGACTAACTGAACACTTATGATATCATCCCAATTGCGCATGTGCAAAAACCGGGGTGAATGGGGATTTTAAAATTTTTAGAGATTTTTTTTATATCTAACCGAATTTACTTACTTTTTCTTTATCTTTCCATCACTTTTGTTAGTAGGTGTTATGGGGACCTACCTTCATGGACAAAATAGACTTGTAGTGATAGGGTTTATCTACCATTATTATTTGTTCCCGCGTAATCACCTCCAATATATGTAGATATAGAGTTACCAATATTTAACTTTGGCTAGGAAAGATAAGATTCAGGAAAATGCGTGAACGCAATGCAATTTATACTTGACGTAAATAGCACATAGAATAAAATACAAACTGAACTGAATGATTCCAAAACAACAATTAGATTTATTAATATTTGATGTACATGCATGCGAACTAAAAAGATAGGACAGAGTCGTGTCCCTTTGATTTGATAATATTTGTACCGGAGTTCATATTAAGAAGAAGTAATATTGAACTTGTAATTTAGAAGAATAAAGTTTGGAATTGTGAGTTCTAAAGTTGGTAAAAGTTCCGGAGTTATTTCAGAGTTCGTGAATGTTGGTAATTGTCTTTAACGTCTGGCCAGCAAATGACTAAGACGGGGGTTCCTGAAGGTTACATCTTGGCACTTGGTAGCAAGGTATGAGACGTGCGAGAGAGATGAATGGAAAGAAAAACTCGAGGAAGTTTACACGTGTTGGGTTTATATAATGGCCGTGTACCACGTGGGAGGCTCAAACGGAGAAAGCGGGAAAAACAGATTGGTCGCGTGCAGGCGGTTTGATTGGTCGGAACTGGCCAATCAGCAAGCAAGATTGGAGGTGAATGACCAATGAATACTTGTTATATTTATGTGAAAGTAGGGTTTTACTTACCAGATAGGAAGAGTGCATTTCCTAAAAAGAGGTAAGGCTAGCTTGTTGTGGGAGATCCCACAGACTCGTCTTATGACTATATTATGCATTGCAAGAGGACTGTAAACAGTGGACGAATTGACTAAGTGTAGGACTTCTGTCGAACTCTCTGCTTTGGCAGAGAGGAACCCGGACGAAGCTTTGCCGAAGGGCAAAGTTTCGTCCAGGGAAGTAGACAGGCCCTGAACCCGTCTAGGCGAGTTCAAAGGGTATTTTTTTGGTCGAGCCTACGGTCTCGGAGAAACCCACGTTAAACTCGGCCTTGTGCCACATACATTCCTCGTGGGGGGCGGACTGTTAAATATCGTGGACGAGTTGACTACTGTATTTAGTCGTCAGACGGACGTGCAACACTTCTGTATTCGTTCTTTTTGTTAATGATACGTTTTCACTTTTCACTGAATTGCTGAGTTCGAGTTTTCTTTCGGACATCTTCCGGGTCCATAACAGTAGGTATCGCCTACTATGATAATAAAAGATCTGCCAGGAAAGGTGAAATGTGGTAAAAGTCAGGGCGTAAATTTTCTGTGGACGTTCTTGTAATCAAGACACTTTCTAGACATTTAGGTTGTAGTGAATTGTTTCTCCTTTGATCAGAGTAGCATTTTTTTTATGTAAAAATTGTGGTCAGTGTGTATGTGTGAGTATTATTGTGTTATCAACTAATGGCCGTCTAATATTATGTACATAGCTATGCTTTTCTAAGAAATGTTGTTTAATGGAACTAAGATCAGAAAGTTCATAGGTAATTCTACAGCAGAGCGTGGTTGCAGTAAAACCAATATATAGAATGGGTTTATTATTAATATCAGCGATACAATAGCCGCCACTGTTGACGACTTCCCGGTGAGCTTGTCGGAGTTAACTCCTCCTTCAATTCGTAACCCTTTCACCAGGAGTTTCTCTTCCCTGGCTATAAATAGCCGCTGACCCTTCGCCTCTATCTCTCTTTTTTCCTTCAGGCCTGTGCGCCAACACCTTGAGGTAAATCTCTCCTTTTCATCAGGCTTTCAGCTATCAACCTCGAAATGTAGGCGCTAACAAGGGATAGCGTGGAAACACGCTAAGCACAATACACACGCACGCACATACAGAATATTCACGCACGCACGCACATACAGAATATTCACATACACTTCGTCCTTTGTACTGTTTCCATGTATTGTAACTTGTTATTAATATATATTTGTATATACATATATTATCGGTCTTGTGTTTTGTTTGCTTTTCTTTGCCTTCTTCTTTGGACTTAATCAAAGTCCAACCTTTTTATGTAGTTGGGCCCGGCGGGCAGGAGAATCTGAACCTTACATGCGTTCTTCTACGTCTGACTTCACAGCATCACAGCCACGGCCCTCTACAAGCTAACTACTAAAACAAATATAATCTATATGGTCGTTTAAAATTGCATAAATATTCACTTACATTATATGTAGTCGTTTAACTGAAAAGTGTACAAGCTTATCACCAAAAGGTCAGTTGGACTGCCGCCTGCCAAACTAGTATGAACTAATTTTAGTGTACAAATTCTTAGTTGCCCCAGCCCAGTTTACTAACCCAGTAAAATATTGTATGAACGTGACCAACAAAAACATGAACTTTGGAGTGTTTATCCACAAAGATTAGAAACATAAATAAAGATTAAACAGACAGCATCAGGTGAATTTAGCTAAACATGTGTTTGTTTGTGTGTGCATCTATCTATCTATCTATCTATCTATCTATCTATCTATCTATCTATATATATATATATATATATATATATATATATATATATATATATAGTGTATTGGGGCAGCAGATCATTATTCAAATATATTGTTAAATATAACAGACAACGAATGTCTATTATGTTTGATAATGAGCCGTTCTAAGCTTCGTATAGTAGCTTTAGTTTCGGGAGAAAATTTAAAACAATTGACCTCATAGCCTCTAATAACCCTACAACCACACAACTAAAAAACAATGTAGTGATTCAATTTACATGGCCGTTCAGAGATTGTATCGCTGATATTAATAATAAACCCACTCTATATATTGGTTTTACTCAACTGCAACCACGCTCTGCTGTAGCCTTATTGCAGGCCCGGTAGGGTGCAGTGCTGGTTTATTACTAAGTGGCCTTGTGCCAAACACCACGCTAAACTACCGAGTCTACAAGCAAAGTAAAAAGATAAAAATGTGTGAATGAACTACGAAGAAATGTGGTTAATCCACACGTGCATAAAATAAAATATATTAAGATAGCCGACACAGAATGACAGAATAAAAGGACTGGATTTAAACAAGAGTAATTTTTATTAAATGCAGGAAAAACAAGTAACTTATCCCGTAGTAGGGATCAATGAAAATGTTCCGCGCCAAAATAGAAAACAAGATGGCTAAGGCGGGAAAAGTTCTTGAAGAAGAAGAATATTCCAGATAAGTCAATGTACATGATAATATACATACAAGGAAAAATGCTCACTGCGAGTTTTTTGCTAATGTGAGTGAAATGTTATGTATATATATTTTTTTTTCCTTTTTTTTGTACTGGTTCAAAACAGATTTATGACGAGGCCAAAAGGGACGAAAAGTTAATACTTGGAGTTACTTCGTCTCGTAGAAGAATTTTGAATGACGAGCCAAAAGGGACGAAAAGTTAATACTTGGAGTTGCATCGTCTCGTAGAAGAGTTTTGAATGACGAGCCAAAAGGGACGAAGAATTAATTATTTGGTGATGCATCATCTCGTAGAAGGACTTTGAATGACGAGCCAAAAAAGGACGAGGAATTAATTATTTGGTGTTCGCATCGTCTCGTAGAAGGACTTTGAATGACGAGCCTAAAGGACGAGGAATTAATTATTTGGTGTTCGCATCGTCTCGTAGAATATCCTTCGTCAGTCAACCTAAAATATTGACATGGATAAAAATGAGTCTGCCCAGGTCCGAGTCTGGATCACAACTAACTTTTTTGAAACAAGTTTGTCGTTGACGTCACAAATTTCGCGGGAAGATTTCAAAAATCTAATTTGCATAAACATGACTAGCAGGTCGCTTGACTGACGACAAAACAGTTACTACTGTATTAGACCGAAAGAGGCAGAAAGGGGTGTCAAACGCGCGTGCGCACACGTGAGTGTGGAAGAAAGGGAGGAAACTCACGCGCGCGTAAAATGTTGTAGATGGAATAATACATTATTCCACACAGCCCCGTCCCTGGATTAAATGTCGCAGACATTTAACTAATAATAATAGAATGTTTCAAATTTCTTTGGAAAGGTGACTTTTCGACCAGAGCTGGTATACTTAGGCTTGTCGAGAGAAACAGGTGTCTTGAATTTCTCCTGAACTTGCGGAGTTGATTGGGAAGTAGTATGAGACGACGGTTTTTCTATAAAAGCAGGCTTCAACCGATCTATCGAAACGTTGTCGGTTTGAATACCTTTTCGTATTTGGAAATATTTGTCCGCGCGTTTAAGAACGCGGTATGGGCCTGTGTAGGCCGGCGTAAGAAGCCGCTTAACAGAGTCGTTACGTACAAATACAAACTCGCAGTCCTTGAGCTGGTGCGGTAAATATATATCACTCGGGCAGTGCCGCGGTGGTGTATAGCATAAGTTTGCCATTTTAAGGCGTAAGTCTTGAATAAAAGAGGAAGAAACTGGGGGTGTGGTCACAGCTGGTGAGAAATATTGGCCGGGTAATGATAACGAAGTACCGAATACAAGCTCTGCAGGGGAGCATTTCAAATCATCCTTAAGAATATTTCTTAACGATAGAAGGATGAGGGGTAATTCATCGACCCAATTATTATTCTCATGCTTCGTTGATAGCGAAGCCTTAAGGGTGCGATGAAATCGTTCCACCAGACCATTAGCACAGGGGTGATACGCTGTAGTACGTATATGCTTTGCACCAAGGAGTTCAGTGAATTCCTTGAAAAGACACGACTGGAACTGTGCTCCTCTATCTGTAGTAACCACTTTAGGAGTCCCAAAAATCGAAATCCAGTCGCATAAAATAGCTTTTGCGACAGTCACAGCAGTGGTATCTTTGACAGGGATGGCAGTAGGCCATCGGGAAAAACGATCCACTATAGTTAAAAGGTAGGAATAACCATGGCAGGTTGGTAGGGGCCCAACTAAGTCCAGGTGTATATTAGTAAAACGAGCATCAGGCTCGCTGAAAGTGCCCACAGGAGATTTTGTGTCTATGCACCTTACACTTCTGACATTGTAAACATGTATTGACCCATTCGCGAATGTGAACGTTCATATTCGGCCAAACGAAACGGTCCGAAATTAATTTAACTGTGGCTCTTTTGCTAGGGTGTGAGAGTCCGTGTAGGTGGTCAAAAACCTGTCTACGAAGAGACGGAGGAACATAAGGTCTTGGGGATTTGGATTTAACATCACAGTATAGTACTTTGTTACTAAAAGGAGCTGGACATCTCTGAAGGTCCAAAGAAGTGTCGGATAACACATGCTTCAGAGTTATGTCCGCTTCCTGTTCGTCGGCGATCAAATCTTGACTGAGTGCATCAGTATGCACGACGAACATCTCAGTACGAGATAGGGTATCGGCAACAGTGTTATCCGAACCCTTAATGTATCTAATATCAGTAGTAAATTGAGATATATAGTCCAGGTATCTGATTTCCCTCGAAGTGTATTTGTCCGAATTGGTGGACATAATGGACGTTAAAGGTTTGTGGTCCGTAAAGATAACGAAGGACCTACCTTCGAGGAGGTGTCTGAAATGCTTAACAGCACGAAAAATATCCAACAGTTCACGAGAAAAGGTACTGTAGCGTGACTGGGCAGGAGAAAGTTTAGCGGAAAAGAACGCTATGGGTTTATGTTGAGAAGGACTGACTTGTTCAATGACCGCGCCTATTGATGTTTCGCTAGCGTCAGTGGTCAGGTAGATATCCGATTGAGGGTCGTCCTCTAAGAAACTGAGCTTAGAAAAATTGCCTAGAGCGGTTTTAGCTGCTCGAAAGGCGTCCAAGGCTTCATTCTCAAGTATAATAGTCTTATTCTTCTTCTGTAATAAGTTGGTAAGGGGAGTCAGAATGTTAGAACAGTTCGGAATGAATCTCCGATAGAAGTTGATCATCCCTATAAAGCGTCTCAACTGTTTGATGGAAACAGGGACGGGAAACTCAGTGATAGCTTTAATCTTTTCAGTTATAGGGGCAATTCCATTTGCATCGACATGATGTCCTAAAAATTCTATATGGTCTGATCCGAAGACACATTTATCCAGGTTTAGACGGAATCCGTAATGAGACAAACGTTGAAGAACTTCGTGTAGGTGTTGCTTATGCGAGGCAGCGTCCTCACTAGCTATCAGAATGTCGTCAATGTAATCGAAAACGAAGGGGAGTCCACGCAGAACTTCGTCCATAAGACGTTGGAAGGTCTGTGCTGCGTTGCAAAGGCCGAAAGGCATTTTTAAAAATTCAAATAAACCAAATGTCCCAGCAGTTTTTGGGACATCAGCAGCAGCTACTGGCACCTGATAATATGCTTTTGCAAGATCTATTTTAGTAAAAATCTTTGCGCCTTGTAAACCAGAAGCGAAATCGTGGAGATGGGGAATTGGATAACGATCCCGGACGGTAATGGAAATCAACCTTCTATAATCCACACAAATTCTATAGTCTTCCTTTCCTGGTTTAGGTACCAAATGAAGAGGGGAAGCGTAGGGACTGTCGGACGGACGAATAACACCCTCTCGTAGCATGTCGTCGAAAGCTTTCTTTGCGAATTTTAATTTGTTAGGTGCTAGACGACGAGAACGGGAAAAAACAGGTTGACCAGTGGTCTTAATAAAGTGTTGTGTTTGATGTTTAGTTGAATCAATAGATCCAGCAGGACGCAGGAGGTCCTGGTACTGATTCAATAAGTCTAAGTACTCTTTATTGTGGCAAGTTGCCACGGTGATACCTGTGGTGGTAAGTTTAGAGTAAGTGCCAAGAACGCACAGTCTTGTTAAGTTGTCTGTTAAGGAATGATTGTTCATTCGAACGGCTAGATCATAGTGCGCCAGGAAATCGGCACCCAATATCGGCATCTGGACGTCAGCAACAGTAAAATTCCAGGTAAAGTCTCGTCGCATTCCTATGTTTAGGGTAAGGGACTTCGTACCGTAAGTATTAATACTGGAACCATTTGCTGCTTGTAAGCGGAGCTGAAAAGGTTGTTGACGTGCTTTATCACGCACGGGTAAAACACTAATGGCAGCGCCGGTGTCAACCAAAAAACGTAAATTATTACGTGTATCCGTCACGTAGAAAAGGCGACTAAGCTTCGGTGAAAATGCCTTGCCAGCGAGATTAGTCGCTTTCACTCGCTGGCGGTCTTGTTTTCCGCGACCGCAGTATAGTTGCACGGTTTAGTACAGTGATGTGCTGCAGACCCAAATCGGCGGTGGTAATAACACATAGAAGTGGCATCCTTGTTTCGACTGGACGAGCGTGGTCGACTCCTGAAGCGCCGGCGGGAAGGGAACCGGCTTCGACCATAGCTTTCTAGAGCTAATGTTAAATCTCTAACTTGGCGCTGCAAATCCTCCACTGTTTTTCCCAAGGACCTGTGGTCACTAATCGCTTCAGCACTGTGTACTGGCGTTGTCTGATGATCCAGTTGCGAGAAAATACGGTCAGCGGCGTCCGCTAACTGGTCGATTGGGGTGTTCCCGGACATAGGCGCCAAAATTTGGGTAATGGTGGTGGGAGACGGTCCAGCCACAAGCTTTTCAATATAGAGTCAGCCATGGTATTTTTTGCCGAGTCGGCTTTTCATATAACGAAGAAGTTGTGAGGGAGTCCTGCCATCGCAAGTTAGGGTTGCTAAATAGTTCCCGGATTAATGATTCCTCCGTACGGCCAATTCTCCTTAAGATCGCTTCTTTTAATCGGGCGTAGGGTTCTACTTCAGGAACGGTTTCTAGGAAGTCTGATACCTCGTCGACAATGGCGGGTGGCAAAACCGCCACCACGTGGCCAAACTTTGTTTTTTGGTCTGTAATCCTTCTGACTGTAAAAATAGCTTCCATTTGCAGGAACCAGTTCTTTATATTCCCTTCATGAAAGGGGGGAAAAGGAGTGACGGCGGCGGTCATGTTCGCCAACTCTTCAGAGTCATTAGACGTCATTCTGGCTATCGAATTTATGCACGTTTATATTTCAGCTTGCTCAGAATTATGTTGGCAAGGTTGCAAAATTATTGCGTGTTCAATTCACGTCTCGGGTCACTAAACTTTGTTGCAGGCCCGGTAGGGTGCAGTGCTGGTTTATTACTAAGTGGCCTTGTGCCAGACACCACGCTAAACTACCGAGTCTACAAGCAAAGTAAAAAGATAAAAATGTGAATGAACTACGAAGAAATGTGGTTAATCCACACGTGCATAAAATAAAATATATTAAGATAGCCGACACAGAATGACAGAATAAAAGGACTGGATTTAAACAAGAGTAATTTTTATTAAATGCAGGAAAAACAAGTAACTTATCCCGTAGTAGGGATCAATGAAAATGTTCCGCGCCAAAATAGAAAACAAGATGGCTAAGGCGGGAAAAGTTCTTGAAGAAGAAGAATATTCCAGATAAGTCAATGTACATGATAATATACATACAAGGAAAAATACTCACTGCGAGTTTTTTGCTAATGTGAGTGAAATGTTATGTATATATATTTTTTTTTCTTTTTTTTTGTACTGGTTCAAAACAGATTTATGACGAGGCCAAAAGGGACGAAAAGTTAATTTGGAGTTACTTCGTCTCGTAGAAGAATTTTGAATGACGAGCCAAAAGGGACGAAAAGTTAATACTTGGAGTTGCATCGTCTCGTAGAAGAGTTTTGAATGACGAGCCAAAAGGGACGAAGAATTAATTATTTGGTGATGCATCATATCGTAGAAGGACTTTGAATGACGAGCCAAAAAGGACGAGGAATTAATTATTTGGTGTTCGCATCGTCTCGTAGAAGGACTTTGAATGACGAGCCTAAAGGACGAGGAATTAATTATTTGGTGTTCGCATCGTCTCGTAGAATATCCTTCGTCAGTCAACCTAAAATATTGACATGGATAAAAATGAGTCTGCCCAGGTCCGAGTCTGGATCACAACTAACTTTTTTGAAACAAGTTTGTCGTTGACGTCACAAATTTCGCGGGAAGATTTCAAAAATCTAATTTGCATAAACATGACTAGCAGGTCGCTTGACTGACGACAAAACAGTTACTACTGTATTAGACCGAAAGAGGCAGAAAGGGGTGTCAAACGCGCGCGCGCACACGTGAGTGTGGAAGAAAGGGAGGAAACTCACGCGCGCGTAAAATGTTGTAGATGGAATAATACATTATTCCACAGCCTTACCTGTGAACTTGTCTGCCTTTTACTATAAAGGTTAAATTTAAATTAGACAAAAAAGTTTTTCTAAGAAAGATATTGAACGGAAAAGGTTTGACGTAATCTTTCATGAAGGAAGTTTGTTTCAAAATGCAGTACAAAATTTAAGTTCTTTCTTGATGTCTCTCTGAGTTTGTATCTCCCTTGTGTGTGCGTGTAGGAATCCTTCTACTCGGTTTTTCGTTGAATGTTAAAATTTGGAGTGTCGGGATTCGATACATTAACAAAATATATGAGGATCGCTCGTAATTTGGCCGTCTAGAATAATCAAACACTTTTCATTGAAGAAATAAAATTCAGTAGAAAAACAACGTAGGAAGATGTGAAAAGGGAAAGATATAAAAACAAAACAAGAAGGAGTAAAGGCGGAAGTTTCTTTCTACTTCCTCTATATGACCTATATGAGTCCGAGATTTACCCCCCCCTCCCCACCTACTGAGTCAAGTTGTAGCACAGGGTCGGTTTTTGACGAGGGGATCCGAGAGGCCGCTGATCTAAGATGGCCTTAGCTTGTCTAAGCTGTTCTTAATTGGTCATAGCTTGCCTGAGCTGGTCAAAGCTTGTCAAACTGGTCTTAGCTGGTCATAGCTTGTCAGAGCTCATCTAAGCTAGACATGGCCGGCCATACCGCCACTACGTAACAGATATCACGCAGCAGTGAGGGGGGGAGGGAACGCAAGGGAGAAGAGAAGGACTACGGCACGGAACAGATACTACAACCACACATCTACTCCGAAGGGAACCCACTTCTACTCGCCTGCCAATCCCTCTAGAAGAATCCGGAAGGAAAAAGCCTTTTCCCCATCCCGCAGTGGAAAGCCCGAGATTTACCTTAACCCCCCACTGCGTCAGGTTGTGACACAAGGTCGATTTTCAACGTGGGGACCCGAGTGTTTAAGACCAGCTTAGACGATAGCCTCTTTGGGGACGATTCTATAGAGTGCTCGTTCTGGCACACAATGGAATATATAACCAACTGTGGGAAGAACGGAGTTATACTTAACCCTGATAAATTCCATTTTGCAGAGAATAACGTGGATTTTGCCGGGTTCTTAATAAGAGCCGATGGTGTGAAACCAACGAAGAAAATAACTGAGTAAACCCTTCACTTTCATAAATAAATTCATTTTAAACCTTAGGTATCGTTATTTTTTTTTCTTTTGTGGAGGTACCCAGAATTGTATTAGATTTCAGAATGTTGTAAATATAAAATTCTTGTTATAAACCATGTAATAAATAGTTTAATATTTTTACTGTAAGTTCTGAAGAATTAAAAAAAAATGTAAATTCACTTTCATCATATCTTTAGTTTTAATAATTACATTTTTAATCATCGTTTTTTAAAAGAATAAATATTGCCGAGGAGTGAAGGTAGTTAAAATAATAGTGGTGTCAAAGAGAAGACCGCCCCTTTTGACACACTGTTTGTTTGTTTGTTGTTTTAGAACACTTAAAATTCGGTTTGAAATGCAGCAAAGTATTTTTTTGCTTATTGGAAATATTAAATAAATCTAATCTAAAATAAAAGCTCTTGTTATTTATTGGGACGAAACACCTGACCAAGTTTTTGAGGAGACAAATCGAGTAATCGTACTGTAAAATTGAGGACAGGGTCAAGATTTTTCGAGATCAATAGAACGACATGTGCATTTTTTTACCATTTTACGGTAAAACAGGAATGAGTTATTTTCTTTTTCAAAAAACACTGTAATTGCCCTGGCGAAGCAAAACTAAATTTCGGTGATGGTCACTAGAAAATTATTTTGGTTGGATCTTGCCTGGCCAACAACGCAAAAATCCCGCTATGCACCCGTCGAAGGTGACAAACTGACTTTTGTCGATGGGCTAGAATCATGTCGGGTGTTTATATTGAAATGCTCAGATTTGCTAGTGGCTGTTGACCATCAACCACTTATAAAAATGTTCTCAGATCGGGCCCTCGAGAATATAAAAAAAACTCACGTCTCTTTAATTTCAAGGAGCAACACTAATGTACAAATTCAGCATTGAATATCACCCTAGAAAATTTAATGCTGCACTCGACTGCGCCTTCCGCTAACCATCATGGATCCCATCAGATTACTCGACTGAACGTCCTTAAATACCATCTGTATATATACAACAGAAGCGAAGACGGTCAGTCTACGAGGCGACTACAATTGATGAACACGAACCAATCGACAGTGCAAGCAAGGCTGTATTTATGTCCAAATACGAGCGTGACCATAGATTGAGGGCTATCACATGGGATAGGATCGTTGCCGCGGCAGCCATTGATAAAGATTGTCAGACTCTGACGAACTATATACGGACTGGTTTTCCCAAATCTAATGACCTCCCGTCGGTGGCCTCTCATGGGCCCATGTGCGAGGAATTGTACTGCGACGAACGAGTACCGATCCTTATATCTAACAAACTTCGTGTGGAAGTACTTGAATCCCTACATTCTGCACACTATAGTGTAAATGCCACGCTAGCAAATGCGAGACAACGCCTATTTTGGCCTGGTTTGAATGCCAGCGTCCGATAGATGCCCAATGTCAGATATGTAAACCTATCACCCCCGTCGCAGCCTTAGGAGTCATCTAACTATGAGTTCCCATTCCAACAAATCATGAGTGACTTTTTCGACGTACACGGTAGAAATTATGTTATATATGCAGCTCTGTACACAGGTTGGGTAGAAGTTACCCTAATTTAATCTGGAAAAGCCAGGGCAGCAGGCGACACCTTGAGAACTTGGCTCTGCACATATGGTGCACCTGAAGAAATTTCTTCCAACGGGGGACCAATTTTCGACTCCCAAGAATACGACTCTTTCCTTAAAAATTGGGGAATACAGAAACGCACTTCGTCGGCTTACTATCCACAAAGCAATGGCCGTCAAAATGGCTAAGCGTGTACCCGCAGACAACACGGACAGCTATGATCGGCTGTGTCATGATCGTGCAGCCCCTGCTTTGCTGACCCAATGGTAATGAACCAGAAGAAATGGAAATTGACGACACCGCGTATTCAGTGGACCCAATACAAAATAACATTGGAGAACACCAATATTGGATAACACCGGTTCCAACCAAGTCAATGCCTACATTGAAACATGCGGGCACCTTTGTAGTGGACCCCTCGCGCGCCCCCGTATCACAAAAGGGTGATGAGGTCACAAGAGGCCCGCTAACATTTTTGAAGACGTTAAATCTGACAAGGTGAAACAACAGAACAACAGAACGAGAATATATATGATATATGCTAATTTATTACAGAAAAGAAATAAACGTGGTCGGAACGGTAGAG